TACCCCAACGCTCAAGCTGTCTCATGTGTTGCTTCTGCAGTAAGTCTCAGTCGAGGTCTAAGTGTAGTGTTCCATGTTCACCGAAGATCACTGCTGACGAAGCAGCCTTTCGCATCTCTGAAGACTGCTGACGAAGCAGCGCACTTGTCGGTGCACGACACTCGTCGAGGCAACGAGAAAGACCATTTATTCGAGGCTCGGCGTTGGAACAGGAAGCTCAGGATGACTGGCACATCAGAAGGAATCAGGGGCATGGGCAGTTCGACCATGTTCAACCGTAAAGCCAACGTTGGATGACTGGCACATGGCCTCGAAGAAGCTGCGGTCCTGTGGTCTTCGTGTGTTTGTGCAAATGGTCAACACGTTCGATCGCATACTGCGGGCAGTCAGGTGTTTGGCATCGGCACTCGCACCCGGGCGTCGAGTGGAGTGGCGTCGATGGACTCTTTTGACCCAATGAAAACAGTTTCTTGTTTCTAATAGCTTCTTTGCTCCTAGTAGAAATGCCCTTTGCTCCTAGTAGCTTCTTGCTCCTAGTAGTACGGCCAGGAGCCCCTAGTAGTGTCCTTGCTCCTAGTAGCGATGCCAGGAGCCCCTAATAGCTTCTTGCTCACACATGTCACTCCCTGCAAGAGGACTGGCTGGGGACCCCAGCTCTTGTTGGAGACCATGGCAGAGATCATCTGCGAGAATCCTGTGATTTCGATCAAAGCCGAGGGCCCGCAGCCGCAGGGCCCGCAGGGATCTGGTTAGAGTGTTCAAATGAATGTTCGGTTCATGTAAAACTGCCAAAACGTTCATCACCCGTTCTCTGCAGAGCGCCGGACCAAGACCCGTAGCAGAACCGGAATCGTGCCATCGCGCGCGCATGCGTGCGGGTTTGCAAGGTTCTTGAGCGCCGTTGCGGGTGGAGCAGCGAGATTGCTTGAAGTTCCAACGCTGATTTCCCGTGGACTTAGATTCACCAAATGAGGATAAGTCGAGCACAAAGACCTAAAACCTTGAAGCTGGGGCTGGAAAATAGACATGCAGAATCATTCTGCCGAAGAACCACAAGGTGGACCCCTTCTGTTAGATTCCAGTTCCAGGCTTGCATCACATCGAAACAGAGCGGGAAGCCCGGACCAAAACCCCTGTGGCATTCACGGTGAACCGATCGTTCTTGCCCCTTAAACCCTAGACCGCCCAACTACGTAGGCAAGTGTTCCTGATTCTTTCTTGGCTGTCCTCCATCGGTGATGCCGACATTCCGCAGCCTCAAAACCTCGGCTCTTTTCGCTGTGGATCGTTGTCACATGGAACTCTCCCTCACCACCAAGCTTCACACAGGAACAGGAGCATAGAGGGGAGAATTAGGAATGAACATGAATGAGCACTGTTACCACCTAACAAAGGGCATCGCTACGAACGGAGCAAGAACGCTAGTAGGGGCGCTCCTGGCCTTGCTGCTAGGAACAAGAAGCTACTAGCAACAAAGGGAATTGAATGAACACTGCTACCACCTACCTACCGGAACATACCGTTGGCTGCTTCGTGGTGTCCAGTCGACTTCATCTCCGTTGGGCGCCACCCCAGTGTTGGGCGCCACTGTTGGCTGAGCGGGGGCGTTTCTTGTTTAGTCCTGTACAGTACAGACCTCAAGAACCTCGACCACTCCTTTGCTTTTCTTGATGGCCAATCTTTGAGTGAAACAAATTGGTTGAACTATGTTGAATTCTCATGAATGATCTAGTTTGGGGTGTAGTCCCTTGACACTCGCTTTCTTCAGAATCGTCCGTTCTCCCGTGAGACTGCCCTTGCACAAGTTTGGGGTGAGTCTCAAAGTCTTAGAACGTCACGAGACCTAAGTTGCCACAAGTTCATGCAGCACAGCGAACATTCTATTTCTATACACCTGGACCTTCTTTTGGGGTGTCCGGGGTGTCCTATGGCGATCCCTAAGTAGTAGAGATTAGTATAGGGGATTCCATTGGCGACCGTTTGAAGATGCTGGTAGGCACATGTTCACTTGGCTCCCTGTACACTCCTTTACTTATATACCGCGGTCTTCAGCTACTGCACCGACGCCGAGGCGCCCGTAGCTTTGAGGACAGCCGCAGCAACGAAGCGATGGCCACGGTGCCCGCGTCTCCAAAATCGTTGCCTCGCAGAAGGTGGGCTGATCGCGGATCCACACCCGCCAGAGTTTGAGCAGGTTGGAGGCCATCGCTGTCACTTCTTCAAGAATTTGCAGCAACGTCGCACCTTCTGAATACCTAGGAGGTTCCAAACATGGTTCCGTCGCACCTCCGAGTAGGTACGACTGGATCCCTTTGGGTGGACTGTGTTGATGTGTGCTTTTCTTTCTCTATTTCGTGTCTTCGTTCCCTCGGGCTCCCGTTATGGGGCCCCCCGGTGCCGATCTTCCGTACCACGTCCCGCAGACGCGACGACGCGACGTTTCCATGTGTTTTGCTTCGTTGCCTTCAACCATCTTCAACGGGCAACAGCAGGCCACGCATGGTGGGTGAACTCGGAAGATCTGGCGCCCTTTGGGCTCAAACAATGGACACCCCGCGGACACCCGCGGACACGCGGTGGTATCACGATGTCTGGTCATGCGCACCCACGTTCAGCGTCCGAACTGAATCTGTGAACTTAAGGTGTTGTGCTTTTAGGATGGTGGCACCAACGAAGAACCTCGGCCACGTGTAGGTCGCCAACCCAACCATCGCGTGTTCCAACGCGTCCGCGTTGTCTTTACAAACCGTTCGCCACCCAATTCTGTGCAGGTCAGGATCGCACAATCAGACGGTGAAGACAACGCTGATATCACATTCCATGAATTTCAAGTTCCACATTCCATACACGGACAATCCCAAAACTACAAGTCTAAGAGCGATTTTTAATTTACAGCATACAATTGTGCTTCCCCCAAGGTCTCATCTCTCTTCACTGCTGATTGTCCACCGTAAGTCAGAGTCTTCGATCGTGTCACTCAAACCGATCGTGTCAAACCGATCGATTCAGATTTCATTTCCATTTCGTGACACCCTGAGTCTTCGAATCCATTTTGTGGACTCCCCGCCGTCCAAGACCAGCTCTTCCACTGCCAGGCCATCACCTGCCAGTCCGAGCCACGTGAACACACCTCCAACCTTAGCCAATCCGTGTCTTCATCCAAAAACCAAGTCAGCAGTCAGTCGTGTTGAGTTTTTCTTTGAACTTCTCTTTTGGGAATCGTTCGTAAGTGTGGAGACAATGGCGTTGGGAGACTGCGTTGGGACCTTATAACAGGTGGCCAAAAAGCATCCACTGTGGTGAGATATGTAGGCTAGGTCCGGTGCGGTGGGGATTTCCCCACCAAACATGAATAATCTATCCGCTCGGAGGATGCCCTTCCACACTCCTGGCTGGATGCTTGCTTTTCCACTTGGGACGCATCCTTGGATTCTTTTGGAAGTGTCTTTCTGCAAAACGTCATTTTCCACTCGTTTTCCTAAACTTGGGGGCTCCTCCTTGTGAGGAGGTTGGAGGCCATCGGTCTTTGGTTGGAGGCCCATGTCACCGAAGTTCGCCACGTCACCGAGAGAGTCCCACCTTCGGCACCCGCGCCCTTTTTCGCGCGCGTTTCGCCTCTGTGTTCGAGATCTAGAAGGACCTCGAGCAGCGTTCGAGCAGCGTTTTGGTTTCACCCAAACCTTTTGATTATAATATAAACTCGCCCCGTTTGAAGTGAACAACCTCTTCAACATGGGTGGTTGATTGATCTAGAGTCTACATTCGTCAACTCCACAAATGGATAATGACAGGAAAGGAATGGAAAGGATCTGCATGTATACCTTTTATTGGGGAATCCATTCGTTCTCACACTCCAGGTGCCACCAAATGATGCTTCCCTGGACCCTCCATTCCACAACACTGGGGGAAAACTTCGTACCCATTGGGATGCGTCAGGTGCTTCTCAATGTCTCATGTGTCGGTGTCCCTACCTTTGAGGCCATCGCTTCTAGGTTGGAGGCCATTGCTCTTGGGTTGGAGCACTCATTCGATCGACCTGCCCAAACTCGTGCTTCTCCTCGTGGCCCCAAGTTCTGCAGACTGGCCTTCTGCAGCATGTCCAAGCCGGTGGCATGGAGCCCACAATTGCCCAAGTCCAAGCGGGAGATCCGATTCACGGGCTGCGCCTGGAAGCAAATCATTGAAAGAAGAGATGAACTATCCTCTCGACCTGAGTCAACATCTTGAGTGGCACATATCAGGAAACCGAGTGGAGCCAAATACTGTTTCTAGCTGATTGGAAACCAAGCTAGACCCCATGAAAAAGCATGAAACAAATGCACACATTAAAAGCGCAACGGTGGTTCACCTGGAGCTTTAGTTAGGAAAGAATCGTGGCATGGAGTCAATCTGGGTCTACCTGGATTTCTCCAACTGTGCAACATGTCTGCCTGTTGGCTGGCTTTTTTTATGAAAAGGTGAACATGGCACAGTTGGAGAGATCCAGGTACTTGGTGCTAAGCATGTCGATGTCCATCTGTAGCTTCAACTGGCTTCGGTGTGTAGCAACTTGACCACCTCTTGACCCTCCACATCTTCACCTCTCAGCACCTCGATCCGAGCCGGGTGTTGTCGGTGGCGGAGCCATGTGCGGAGCTGTTCCGAGACGCGACCTGGGGAGAACCAGACCTGAGAGTTCTCCGCTTCAAAGACCCACATCTCAGCGCTCAGAAACGGAGGGAGCCCCAAAACTTTGAGAGCGGATTCGCGGATGGTTTGATCTCAAAACTCTGTCGATCTTTGCAACGTGGACCCTTTGGACAGCCATCGACCGAAGGGAGTGACCCAACAGATTTCTCGTATAGATCAGGTGCCCCTTCTCGAGTTTTTGGGAATACCCGGATTTCCATCGTTCCAAAGTTCCAAACAAGAAGAACAACAACAACAGCAACGGCGGCAACAACACTTGTTGAAGGGCGGAACTCTTTTTTCGTCTCACCAAATTGCTCCACTCCCTGACCTCGAAACATAAAGAAACACACGCTTTTCTCCACGCTTTCTCATGCGCACTTCTCTCTCCGTCTCAGCCGGTGGTTTCGCCCCGGTCGTCGAATGCGGTTCCATCCGCCGCTGACTCCACGTCGGCCGCTGCCTCAACCTCTTCCAGGGCCTTGAGGTGCTTCCGCCCCGGCACGCAGCGCTCGCAGACTCCGCGCCAGTCGCTGGTGGCCTGGTGGTCCAAAATCATGTTGACCACGTGGTTCACCTTGCTTGCTTGGCAGGTGAAGCAAAACGTCAAGGACGGACACCCTCCGTCCGATCTGTATCTGCCGTCATCGTGTGGGTGCCCCAGCATCAATGGAACATGGTTGGAACATGGTACTTCACCCTTGTTCACCTTTGAAGCACCAAGCGGCACCAAGCGGCACCAAAGGTCGGATACCGGGTGTTTCCCGAGGTTTCTGGAGTTCCTGGTGACTCTTCCTGAATGCCCCATCTTAGGCCTTTGGAGCCCTAGGGCCTCAGGGATGAGCTGCAACACTGGACCGGAGGCATGGACCGTTCAATCATCCAACCTAAGAGCGATGGCCTCCAACCTCCCAGCCTCCGACCTTTCAATCCTTCATTCTTCCGAGGTACGGTGAGCACCCGCGAGTAGGATCCCATCTCCACGTACTTCGCCAGCGGCAGCTGCTGCGCAGCGATCTGCTGCTCAGAGGCCTTGGCCATGCTGGCGCCTTTGAGCCGGTTCCGGTCCACGATGCCTCCTGGCGGAAAGCACGGGGCGGGCTGATGGACTCTAGAGTCCGCCCAAACACGCCATAGGACTGGAGATCAATATATATATATATAATATGCCTATCACGGGGGATTTCCACATGGCTAGGAATGGGCACCCTGGTCCATCATCCCACATTGATCCCTGTAGAAGCCGGCTCAATGCAGGTAAATATGTGATACATGGCGGATGGTAAAGGAACGGCTGCAACCTGAATAGACCAGGGCATTTTCTTGACATGTTTTGACCCATACTCACCTGGCTTGCCGGTCTCGAGCCCAAGTAAAAGGCTTGTTTAAAAGATTCGGACATGTTTGAGCAGTTTGAGGATGTATCTTTTTCGGAATATCTATCATGCCACCCGGCACAAGTAGAACTTTGAGGATCAAGGGTCCGATCACATAAACCTTCTCTGGGTCGAAGGTGTCTAAGACCTCCGGGGCGTCTGCCGTGAGGTAGATCAGCTTCTCCTCGAAACGGGGTCCGTGAACGGAAGTTCGAACGAAACAGGATGAAGAAGAATCCGCATGGTCTGGGTCACAAAAAAGACCAATTGCCGTCCCCCAACAGTAGGCCTCCAAGGGGATAGAAGTAGATTCCACAAAGTGTTGCAAAGTGTCTGAATCCTCTGTCCAATTGAGGGTGCCCTGCACAGCTGCCCCCCAAAATCATGCTTCAGCACAAAGCAGCAAGACTGGGACAGCCTCCAACCTAATAGCAATGGCCTCCAACCTATCTCATTCTGTTCTTTTTCTTCGTTCTGAAAGCCCTTCTCCTTGGGAAAGGCCTCAATGTAAGGCCCCGAGAGCTTTTGCACTTCCCAGGACTCATATCCTCACCGACTCTGCTTGCAGTCGGTCGGCCAAAGAACACTAGGGCCCTCAAATAAGGTCCGGCGGGTAAGATGCCACCGACTAGCACGTTGAATGAACACATGGTCGAGTACATGGGTGGAGAGACAACGGGGGTGCTGCCAGGTTGATGACTGTGCCTGTTGAAAGCGAGTAAACGAGGGCTTGGGAGTTGAGCAAAGAAATCCGACTCCTGATCTGTGGCAACTATATATACATGCTAAGGCGAACAAATCTAGTCATGATGCCTTTGCATCCACTACAAGTATCAGCACTCAACTCCATCGATTACTTCGCAATGAACGTCGAACTGTCCAGATCTGCTGCAGAGTTGATCAGAGTTGCGGAGTTCAGGTCCTGACTGTTTGCTAAGGCCCTCGTAGGTCTTGCTGCCTTCCTTTACTCCGGAGAAGACCAGCCGCGTGGGGTGGCTGGATTTGCGGTTCGCGCCATAGCAGTAGAGCACCTGCGTTGGCCAGGCTTTGACACAAAAGAAGGGAAAAGGGGAAGCCCACCAACCCCCAACCCACTCAACCAGCATGCCAATAGATCGTCTATCTGTGGTGTTTTCCGGGATTTCTTCCAGTAATGTCCCCTAAGGATGCACCAGGAACGGCGATACCAAAGCAAATTGGAGACCACCAACTCTGCAGGCGCCTCTTAGTTTGTAAGTCAATCTGAAACAAGGAGGTTGGCTCTTGTTTGCGAGAACAACTGACTGACCAGCCCATCACTTAGGTGTTTGGACTTCTGGGACATAGGTGCATAGGTCTTAGCCTTAAGAAACATCTGTTCGAATCTATTACGGCTTTACCGATCAGCATCTTCACTTCGGGAGATTTTTCGCGTTGCAGTCTTCGCCATGAGCGAACGACACCTGGTTTGTTCCCAAACAAGAACCCGACCACCCAGTGCGCGACCAGCGCGGTTTCTTGTGCAGCCAGCACAAAAGCTGTGAATTCTGAGGCTTTTGTGAGAGCGCAAGACGGCTGACGGTACTACAACACTGTATCTGCATCACTGCATGCCACAAAACACGGTGTCGATGTGGTTTCGACCTTGTGGAATGGGCATTGGCCCATTTCAGGTCCGGCACACTGCCAGCAGCAGCCGGACAGCAAGCTGTTGGCTTGGCGCCGCCAAAGTGCTTGGATTCTCCCAACTTCAGGTGCCCAGCGCCCATCGCCATCTCTCCAAACCCCCATATGGCTGCCTGCTGTATGAGACTCTTGAGCTCTTTGGGCTGCATCTGCTCTTCCCACTCCAAGTCCAAAACCACCGTGGTACCTGGGGCGCCGCAGCATCGTCTCTGGTGGCCAACCTGACCTTCAACTTCCATCACCAAGTCGTTGCATGTCCAGTTCGAGAAAAACCTGAACATCCTGAACTGTAGTGCCTTGGAAATCAACATCCAATCGCCTAACGCAGCCACGACCTGTTCCTTGAATCATTTATGACTTCCAGCAACATACTGCAGGAGAGGGGAAAGAGGATACCTAGTAATGTATACAAGCATCTGCCTCCTGTAACCTGTGAATAACACGTTCCCAGGACAGGAGGTTGTTTCCCCGATCCCCTCCTATCCCCCTCCATCTCTATGGATTTCCAAGAACATCTTCACCTCTTCACACGAGCCCAGGAGCCCCGTTCGTAGCGTCCGATCGCTCCGTTCGTAGCGATGCACTTGTTTCTAATACCTTCCTTGTTACTACTAGTAAGGCACTTGTTACTAGTAAGCCAGGAGCCCCGAACGTAGCTTCTTGTTTCTAATAGCTTCTTTGCTCCTAGTAGAAATGCCCTTTGCTCCTGGTAGTTTCTGGTTCCTAGTAGCCTCAAGAATCATGAATCTTCCTGCTGTGTCTTCGCCGGTATGTCCATCCCATGTCCATCTAAAACCCCCCTCTGTCAGCATCGCGAACGGTTTCCCGCGCCTCCGGTAAAAGTCTCCTCAATACTAGCAATGGCCTTCAACCTAAAAGCGATGGCCTTAATAGCTACTCGCCGCTACTAGTCCTTGTTACCAGTAGCGATGCCCTTGTTACTAGCGATGGCCTCCAACCTACTTCACACCGAACCATCCGAACTCACCCGACCTCCGGCCTCGCCCACTCCTCTCGCGGAAGTCCTCCAGTTCCTTCGCCTTCCGCAGCAGCCGCTGCGCTTTCACCTCTTCCGCTCCGAGCCGTTGCGTCGGGCCCTCGCCCTCCGGGCGGCCGCTCTCGCCGTTGGGCGGCAGCGGGGGCCCTTTGTGGCGCTGGCCTCCGAGCGACCGTTTGGCACTGGGGTGTGCTTTGGGGTGGCACAATTGAAATGATATTGAATGTCTTTTGGAACTTTAAGCAACCTATATCCTTCCGACGCCTGCATCTTCTGCTGCTGCACCATCTTTTTACCCGGAAGAAGGCATTTAGCAGCACGGTCCAAAAAGACCACCAAGGGAAAACAATAATTAACCTCATTCTCCCTGTCTCACCGACAGTACAACTTCTTTTAGGACCACCCTTTTGGAAGACTGAAGCTTGGTCCTGCCAAATTCATTCCTCTTCCATAGTTGCTTGGTGGGGATTGGTGCAAATGCCGCTCCTGCGGTGCCTTCTCCCAGTTTCCATCAACCTTCCCAAAGCCACCCAAGCTGGCGGTCACAGACCTCGAACAGCTGCAAAGTCAAAAAAAAAAGTCCCAAAGCCACCAGGGGAACCAACAAGACTCCCGCGGTCGGCCTAAACACCACGGCTTTCGGCCCGAGACATCAGTGCAGACGAAAGAGTTGGGAATCGGCGAAAAACCATTCGGAAAGAATGACCACTGTGACGTGAAAGAACAGGTCAAAGAGAAAAGTCCGAAAGGGAAAAACCATGAAAGGTTGAAAGGTCCATAACTCAACCAACGGAGTGGCGGAAGAAAGGTCTTGGAAGAAAAAATAACTGGAAAAGAAAACACTCCAAACAGGTCTCTACCGAATCCACACCCGACCGACCAACATCTTTTTCGCCCACCGGCCGACATCACCGACGTGTGTCACACGCCGACGAATCACAGACACTTAAGTGTTCTCCCAGGTGATCGAGCCACGTGTTTTCCTCCCAACCCCATTCAGCAGCAACCCGTTTCAGCAGCGGCGTACGCCCTGGCCTCCTCGTTTCCTCTTGGCCTTCTGCTGTGCCTTCCACTCCAAGCACTTCTCCGCCTTCGCCTTCCGCTTGAGTGCCTTCCGCGAAGGGCGCTCCAAGGCACCTTCCTCGCCGTTGTCCTCGCGGTCGGCCTCGCCTCGGGCCGTCGGGCTCACCGGTCTCTTCGGAGGTCCTGGGACTAATAAGAACGCTACGAACGGGGCTCCTGGCCTTACTACTTAGTAACAATTAAGAAGCTATTAGAAACAAGAATTCAAGTAGAATTGGAATTAAAGTCAATTCAATCTTGAAACAAAACAAATCAACAAAAAGAATTCGAATTAGAATTAGAGACATGAAACAAAAAGCAACAAACAAATCAAAGAACCTGTAAGGCGATGGCCTCCAAACTACTAGCGATGGCCTCCAGCCTAATAGCAATAGCCTCCAACCTACTAGCGATGGCCTCCAAACTACTAGCGATGGCCACCAACCTACTATCGATGACCTACCCACAACCTGCCAAAGGCCCATATGTTTGGTCCAAAACCCTAGCTGAGCATTCAACAACTTATGTACTATATAGAGTCCAACATAGTTCAACATTAGCTTTTTACTTTAGGGTGTACAGTCGAATACAGGGGGCTACAGGGCGCCACTATTTAAATCTGCATTGGCTGAAAAGCGGAAAAGGACCCTAAAACTCCTCCAGGACACCCTGATCTGTGGCCTCTCCGGCACCTTGCTCCGGAGCCTCCTCCGTGGCTGTTCCCTCCTGCCCCTCCATGGCAGGGTCCCGTGCGCTGGGAAGATGAAGGATCAACGTCTGAGTCCGAGTGAATTTAAGGTTGCAAATCACATGTGTCTTGGTTGATCTTCGGGAAACACCATAAGCTCGTCTTATTATCTCATAAGCTTGAAATTTAGTCACATTCTCCTATAGGTTATGCTTCACCTGCTGGATATGGTTAACGCCATGAACAAAAATAACTAGCCTTTTTACTACATACATGGGCCGGCCGCCGTATCGTTGGAAGTACTTCACTGACATCCCCAAAACAAAAATGATCAAAAATGTCTTTGGCTGAGCAAGCCCGGCTCATGTGGCTGCCATCCTCTCTTCGTAAATAATATAGGTCTAGAATATCACTTCAGAGCCTCTTTCGTGTGACCATGAAACAGGAGTTTAGCCTCCGGTAGAGCTTGGTGCGATCCAGAATGCTCCGAACCAGAATGCTCCGCCATCAAACGTCTAAAGAATGCTCCGACTGAGCGGGATGAGCGAGACCGAGTCGGCATCAGCGAATTCGCCTGCATCAGCGAGAAGAGGAGAAACCAGCTGCTTCGCTTCTGTTGTTCCTCCAGCCCTTGCAGCTGAGTATCCTCGGCCAAACAATCGGCCCAAGATGAGTTCATGAATGAAATCCTCCAAGCTAGTAGGTGATGGCCTCCAAGCAGCTCCAGGATGCTCCCCGATTTCTGATACACGCAGTTTCCCCCTCTAGCATTGCAAAAAGAGTTTGTGGGGAAGAGTTGCGTTGCTGCAGAGCTGCAGTTTTGAAGGCTCGGAGGTTTTTCGGAAGAAGGGGCAATGGGACCTTGGGTTTGCCGAAGAGTGTCAGAAGAATGCTTTTGGACATTTGTTGCTGCTGCTGAAATAGTCCCAGAAGTGCAATAAGTATAGTTTCTCAAGACGTGTTTCTCAATGTCCGGACACATTGTTGCGTGAGCCGTGCGCCTTTGTTCTCAACAAAACAGGGTCCTGGTTCATGTAGAAACACCTGATGCAACCGAAGAATCCAGTGCCCTCAAGAACGGGTGGTGACTACGTTATGGTCCGAGCCCTGCTCACACTTGAAAACTTGCCGGCTCGGTAGCATCTACTGCAAGTACTTCAAACTGCCCTTGACCAGTGGTGAAATTGGACTTCTGTAGCTGCAAGCTGCAGTTGGATAGAGCAGAATCCTTTGTAGCATGGAGGTCCTGAACTTTCCGACCATGTTTGTGGGTCAAATCAAACTGCCAATTTGAAGATACAAATTATGACACTGTACTGCAATATGTTAAAAGCATGTTAATGTATATTACTATATTACATGTATATATACATATTACAATATATAAATGCCCCCAAAATCACAACATCTTCGGATGCACTATGGACAAGTGTGACGAGCCACGGTTGGAATGGGCAGGCCCTTGTCCCGGCCCTTCACGGTGGATCGAGCGTCGATGTCACTCAGCCTCTGCTCGGCAGACTCGATCCCCGCATTGGCCTGGGCGTCTCGGCCGGTGCAAAACGCCGGTGCACTTGGTGCTCTTCCCGATGCACACGGAGTTGCGTTCTTGGGACGAATGGGACGAGTCCAACACTCGTCGGAAGGTCCTGGGACCATGTTTTTTTGGGGTCCAGTCACGGTAGTTCGAGTGGTTTTGAGGCGAAAATGGTCATTCATTCGGCCGTGTGCAGTGTCTGTCTTACGTGTGCACATGGCTCACCGAGGCTCAAAAAGACGTCCCCAACTGGCCATATGGCAGTGGGTCAAAACCTGGAGCTGCAAACCCTTAGGTTGACCTGTGTGGTAAGCCTGTTCATCCAATTGGGAGAAAAACTCAGGCTCTCCCTCTGTTTTGAATAGTCTAAAGATGTCTAAAGGGATCTCTCCGCTGAATCTGAGAGTAGCATGGCAGGAGTCTCTCCAAAGATACGGCAATCTGGTTCGGTTTTCCTTCACAGGCTCCGTGTTCACGACCGATCGTCATCTGGAATTTGTGTGGCGAAGAACCCAATCTCCCCCACCAAACCATGGGAGGTTGACATCCCTTATGGAGGAATCTCTTCTTTTTCAGCGGTCAAACAGGGCATCCAGCACAACAGGGATTCATGAAACCATGCCAGTCAGTCCAGTCCCATGGAGTCTTTGGGTATACGGGCATCGCTACGTTCGAAGCAAAGGGCATCGCTACGAACGGAGCGTTCGGATGCTACGTTCGGGGCTCCTGGCCGTACTACTACGAACAAGAAGCGTACTGAAATGAATTCGTTGAACTATTCGTTAAATATATATCAGCCATGCCCGTGACCGCCTTCCAGCATTGGGTGGACAATGTCTGCACAAGTGCACAAAAGAAGACCACTATATACCGGTACATTGAACAAAACACTTGTTGAGGACTAATACCAAAAAAAGGACCTGCGGACAGACCTGCGTACTAGTTGAATGATGCAGTTCATCCCTACGCCGCGGCCTCACGTCACATCTGGGCGGAGACCGCAAAGTCCTTGGCCTCGATGGAAGCCGATCGAAATGACTCAAGAACCAGATGGGAGGATATGGGTAAAATGAATAGGATATGGATAGGATCGGGGTCAAGAGCAGAAGACATCCAAAAGTCTTGCAATGGCCTCCAACCTAAGAGCCATGGCCTCCAACCTACTAGCGATGGCCTCCAACCAAAGAGCGATGGCCTCCAACCTACTAGCGATGGCCCCCAACCTAAGAG